AATTAACCTGGGAGGTCTGATTTGTATGTGGGGTTCAAAACAGCTTTGCGTTTATCATCTCTCAGAAATGTGATTCTGGCTGTATGTCACATTCAAAACACACCTTTTTGCGTCTTTAGATATGCCCATATGCCCATACCTTTAAAAAAGACCTTTAAAAAAGGCGTTTATCACCTTCTAAATTTGCCTGAAAGACGTTTGAGAAACCTGATTCTAGCCAAAAATTTGGTCAATAAACGCACCCTAAGGTACATGTATATAACCCTTAACCTACATGTATATCTTTCAAGACATGAAATTTGGAGCCACTGTCACCAGAGCAAATAAATCAAAGCATCCAATGAAGAATAGGCCTGTCCTTATCAGCTTAAGTTTACCAAATAACCCACTATATTTTAACTATTGCAAATTAACCAGTTAATTTGTATCTTCATCAGCCCGCAGTTACAATTAGCGGGATATTTGGTCGAGAAAATATCCAGAGAAATCTTGGTCTTGTTTCCCAAATGTCCCACTATTTCATTCGTGCCCGTCCGAGCTAGTTTGTGATGAGCCTATCGATCTGATGAAGCCGCAATTTTGAGCGAGTCTGAAAATAGCGGGTTATTTGGCAAAGTCAAGCTGGTGAGGACAAGCCTATTGTCCCTTCTAAGCTGCTTCATACTACCCAAACAATCAAATCAAATTATTTCTAGTGGCTTAAAATTCAGATGCAGAGAGAAAATTGAATTAGCATTGAGCAATTCCAATTATGCAACAGAGTACACACCACGATAATGTACATTGTGTACATGCACATGTACATTTCAAATGTACTTTGTATAATTTCATGTCTATCGAAATACAGCAGATTCCAAGGACATTTTACCACAAAGCGAGACACCAAGGTCGTTTGTTTGAGTCATTCTTTACTAACCAAGGTACATGTAATCTATTCAACATGTTTTTATCTTTTCGTAGTAGAATTGTGCATATATATATTTCAAAGTGGTAGAAAGATAATCCTTTTGGTATGGGTTTAAGGAAAATCTTGCATTCTTTTGAGTCCTACATGTACTTTATTTTCATAATATTGCACTGGATACCAGTTTAGTGTTTAGTTTTATTTCCATATTGTTTTGTTTTCCTTTCTTTTGTTTCCTTCCAAGGGGGGGGGGGGGGGGGGGGGGGGCTGGGGTGATTTGTATCAAACAATACTGAATACTTTATCTTGCACTACCGGTATATCATAACGATGTTAAACACTAGCCACATCTGATCATTTTGATCATTTCAGAACACTTGGTATGAAGTCACATTACAAGTTGCAAGTGATCAATCAACTTCGAGAACCACAGTTGGGGATGCTGTAAATGTCTTCCTTAAATGTAATTTAAAATTCACCCTCAACAGGCCAATGCTGTGTATCATAAAGTGAAGTGTTTATAAACAATGTGCCACATGCATACTTCCAGAAGAAACATGTATCAATCATCCACAAAAGATAGCACCTAAAGTTTAAATTCTCGTTCAGATATATGCGGTGGTTAAAACTGCAGCAGGACTTTTTTAAGATGACGTTAACTGTCATAGTTATCCGTTCACATTTTTGTATCTTAGACCATTTTGAAAAATATACATGTTTAGCATCCAAAAAAACAAACATGGAAAACACTGCTAGAATTATCAATTACTGTTTTTGTTTTTTTTTAATTTAAAAAATGCCGGCGGCCAGCTTGAAAAATAGCCGACTGTCAGGGGAAATGTACCGAGCTGCCATTTTGAAGAAAAAAAAGGGCCTCCTCCTTCCTATATTTCAAAAAGGCAGAACGTTAAACATGTTTGTTTTTTTATTTGGCCTTATATCATAGAGCTCAGTGACTATGCATTAGACATTTGTTGTGTGCAGTGTCCATTCACTTAAAGATGAAGTTGAGTTCTGGTCATGCGATTGCATTGTGAAAGAAACGGCGTGGAACCGACCAGAAAAGGTTGATCATCTAGCATATAAGAATTTGTGTGTATTGCAAGGTTCTGGAATCATCAAAATGATAAGAAATTTGGCCAAGTCTTGGTAAAGTTACAAACACTGTACACAGAAAGATGTATATGGGACTACACGAACACGTGGCGTAAAAAGCCGGCCCCCGATTTTTACGATGTTACATGCATATTTAGAATATGAAGGCATTTGAAGAGCCATGCTTTTTAGGGAACATGTCTTAACTGATGTTCTTCCACACTTGCATAATAAGAATGAGTAATGCTCACAAATTATTTTTCACCTCTTCCCAGAACTCAACCTTCTCTTTAAACATTTTTTCTTTTTAAACAGTATGCTTTTGCGGCTGTTCACCATGTCATATCTGAACCAACCTTAACAAGGCCATCTCTCTTCATCCTGTGTTAAAACAAGGGAACATGTTGAACTGTACACCAGGGCCCTGTATTAATGAGCCAAATCGATTACACTTCTTCGATCAAACGCAACTTATAATCTCATATCTTTTACATTACAAGAACAGATCTGCAATAGCGATGCATTTTAATCAATCGCAGCTCTTTACAAAACAAGGTCTGTATGTCCCCTCGGGGGGGGGGGGGGTGTTCAACCAAATAAATGACAGCTATAAAAAGAAATCTGGGTTTATTAAAGTCCTAGGCTCCCATTTCTGTCTTTTCCTAGAAAAAAAGTATGAGGTGGTCAAAACTCAAAAGGTACAGTTCTTAGTTTACTTTTTAAAAACAGAAACCCATTAAAATCATTGCATTTTCTAAACAGATCTTGAAGACAGACATGGAGATAATAGACTCTTCGAAATTCACAACAAAATCATTACAATTTACAGGGGGGCAATTCCACGGTAACGGAAGGACACTCAGACAAGATTTTTGAACTTCAGGTTCATACTAAATGAACTGTTTTATTAGTATAAGATGTGAAACAGTACAGATATAATACCTATATAAGTGCCTTTAATTCTCCCCAAAAAATTGTCATTAGAGTTAAGTAGTTTAAGAATGTGCATATTAATTATCTCGGTAACGGAAGGACATAAAAATGGACATGGTTTTTCCAGTTAATTAGTGTTTATCCAAACTTTGTGAAGTTGATGAAGCTTTCCACTTGACTGAAACACATTTTGTTCCCCATAGTTTAATACATACAAATAAAACATTTCTTTTAGTATGAACCTGAAGTTCAAAAATCTTGTCTGAGTGTCCTTCCGTTACCGTGGAATTGCCCAGGGGCCAATCTTTCTGTGGTCTAGCCAAGTGGAAAGGGGAATCCAGAAGTCCATACAAATATTTGAAGAGATTAGATTTTAAAAGCCCATATGAGACAAAGAATCTCCTTTACCTCTATCTTTGCTTTGTACAACAGAGAAGAAAAAAACTTTAATAGGTGGAGTATTAACTTAAAGGACGCTACAGAAATACCGCCATCACTGACCAAGCGTAAAATCTTCAATCGAATGAGTTGTTCATAATCCCTGATTAAATGCCACAAAAGACAGGAAATCAACCGAGATGTAAGCAACATCTTCTCTAAAATGTCTAGCTTCCTCTAGTTGGCAAATTGTTAGTTTCAAGCCAGCTGCTCACAAATCTATTATGCACACAGTTAAAGGGAAAGTCCACCCCCAAAATAAGTTTGTTTCGATAGAGGCAGAATAATAAGAAAATCAGGTGAGTGAAAGTTTGAGCAAATTCTGAATGAAAATAAGAAAGTTATGAATTATTGAAGTTGTGATCAATCAAATACAAATTGGCAACTCTGTGACTTATTATACGAGCTCTCCTTCATTTGCTTTGTGCATAATATTCCATAAAATCATGTTTTCTTTGTTATTGATGACGGAATATATATTTGTTCCTTGCAGGGGGAGTATAGAAACATATTTTCAATTATTATATTTAGGGTGCATGTATGGTTGAAATTTTTCTTGAGGAAAAATGAAAATTTTAGATTTTTTTAGTACTGAGCAAATGGAAGTTGAGCTCGCATGATACGTCATAGAGTTGCCAATTTGTGTTTGATTGATCACAACTTCAAAAATCCTAACTTCCTTATTTTTAATCGGAATTTGCTCAAACTTTCACTGACTTGTTTCTCTCATTTTTCTACTCCTATTAAAACTAACTTAATTTCAGGGTGGACTTTCCCTTTAATGATCCTTTATCTATTGTTTATCTAAAGTGCAATGTTGATATTGCGGGACTTCACAGATATATTATGTACAAGTATACAGTGGAACGTCATAAATCATGGTCACTTCAAACAAGCGTTATCATATCAAACAATTAAGTTTGAGATACTATTGTATCCACTCACTAATGATTGATACTATAAAACAACACTTGACCTCTTAAAGTAGGTCCTTTGATTTAACCTCGGTTCTGAATTTGACCCTTATTAAAAATGTACAAAAGGAATCTTGAATAAAGTGACGAGACAATTATAATAAAATGAATATCAAAAACAACAAAAACCATCATCACTATTAACACAACAACAATGGCTTTAAAGTATGGTGTTCTTATCTACCATACAATTCCATCCTACAAAGTACATATAAGACTATCTACATGTACCACTTACTACAAAGAAGAAAGTGACTAATGATGGCTATTTTTTGCCGTAACACAACAGTGCCATACTGGGGATTGAACCCACAACCTGCACATTCCCAGTTTAGTACATAAACCACTTGACTACGATCAATCTCCTACAGTCAAACCTGTCTATAGCGACCGCCCGAGGAAAACACAAAGAATCAATGAGAAATCATTTTCAAGGGAAACAAAAAAAATGTGGTCTTTGTAAACAGGTTCCTTTAGTACATGTTTCAATAAGAGACCATTTTTTTCAAGGGAAACAAAAAAAGTGATCTTTGTAGACAGGTTCCTTTAGTACATGTTTCAATGAGAAACCATTTTCAAGGGAAACAAAAAATGTGGTCTTTGTAGACAGGCGGTCACTAAAGCAGGTTTGACTGAACATTAAAACTCTGACTTACTTTGGCCTCTTGGAACGGATGGTTTATGATGTCTGAGAGACACCAGGATGAAGAAGAGAGTGAGTGGAATCAAGATCTCCAACAGAAGGACAAACTGGGTGGAAAAACAACAAGATATGAACAAATTAAAGAGAATGTTGAGTTCTGGGGAGAGGTGAAAATAATTTGTGAGCATTATCATTGTTATTATGCAAGTATGGAAGAACATCAGAGTAAAAATGTCCTCTGAAAAAGCATGGCTCTTCAAATACCTTCATTTTCTAAATATGACAAGTAACAGCTTAAGAATGAGGCCTGATTTTTATGCCACATCTTTGTGTAGTCCCATATACGTCTTTCTGTGTACAGTGCTCGTTACCTTACCAAGACTGTGCCAATTTTCTTATCATTTCAACGACTCGAGAACCTTGCAGTACACACCAATACTAGGTATGCTACATGTTCAACATTTTCAGATCATTTCTTTCACAATGCAATTGCATAACCAGTACTCAACTTTATCTTTAAATACCAAGCACATAATGATCAAGCTCCAGTTCAATTCAGCGATGACAAAAATAAGAAATAATAGAAGTATGGATTTCATAACAATTTATCTTTAAAATGCCTGTAGGCATCACACAATTATTAGGAACTATAAAATTCCACTGCGTTGTAGATGGCAATAGAGATTACACACTTCAAGAAGCTAATGATCTTGTTTCAGATTAGGAACATAAAGTAATTGCAAGTGTTACATCAATATGTGATACATACATGGATGATATGTACATGTACATACTACTATACTTTAAAGATCCATTCAAGTGCATGTATACTGAACATGATGGGGTGAGTCATAGAGCATTATTATTCCCACGCTCATTTAGAGATCAATTGTTTGTGTTTGTACCAGAGTATATTTGCATATTTTTTAACTTTAGCAGTTCTTTATGCAGATAATGACCTTTCCATATGGGGCGATTGGTGGAAAATGCAGAGCGTTACATAAGGCCTGTTGGTCATAAAACTGAAGGCTAATCCCGGTTTAATATTGACAACACCTGTTATTGGGTAAACACCAGAATGGTGTCTTATTCCTGGCAATAAAGTACCAAAGCTGTGACATCATAAAAATCTATTTTTAGAACATTTTGCTCTGGTTCATAACATTACGAACCAGAGCCAAATAACACTGACTTCCTATCAGAAATCTATTTAATCAGATGGTCATATCTCAGCCAATACTTCACATATTCATTTGGTTTTTCGACATTTGGACATTATTTTTGATGCTCTTTTGGAAAATGGACGAAAAAATGGAGAATTTTTGATGACATCACACTTCACCACTTTATACTTACCGGACTTCTCCTCTTCAATGTCCAGTTCTTCCACAGAAGAATAAGGAGCTGGTGCATAAACCCCATTTTGGTTCTGGTGGGCTACAGGAGGACAGCTCAAATGTCTTTCAAAACAACCAGAGAAACTAGTACCTGACAATATCTCACTTGGCTATGGACCTGTTTACAGAAGAAGACAAAAATGGGTACAATAAATCATACAAATAATCTTTTCCCTTAAAATTTCTGAAATAGTTAAGCACTAACTTTACACAAGTCGACAACAACAAGCTAAAATACATGTACATGAAGGTATCTTTTGGCAAATGATAGGCCTGTATTTCTTTTAAATCTGAATGTGTTAAAATGTGGTTCACAGGCAATATTTCACATAGTTAATTTGGGGCAGTGCTTTATAATCTTTGATGTTTGTATTACTTGGGAGGTGGGACTGAGCTTGGATCATGTTCTCCATAAAATTTTGAATTTTGAAGTATAATCGGGCGAATGTAATTCCTAATATAAACGGATCAATTTGTTATTCTTATTGTTTTCCTCTCATCCAGCTGATCATGCCCTACACCTCATTTCCATTTTCAGTGAATCATACACAATTACCCATCTGTCATCCCATGTCATCCTCGTCGGTTCACCTTTCACCCCTGGTTCTTCTTCTTTCTGGATTATCATTATACGTACCATTCTCTCTTTTTTTGGTTATAGCATGGTTACCTTTCTTTACCATTTCTAATATTTGCATATTTTGTAAAAACCTTCCAGAGAAAAAGGTGTGCTGTGTAGGCTGATACATCAGAGCATTTCTGGATTTCTTGATGTCAACAGTTTTTCTTTTGAGTACTTCTCTCGTTTCAGCTACGTATATTTTTAGGTTCCTGATTTAATTAAGTTGGTGCTCTAACTAGCAATTTTTTCTTTGCCCCAGTTTGATTCTTGTTTGTTTGATTGTGGAGTGTGTTACACTAGTCTCTGTGAACATATACTAGTACAGCATTTTCAGTTGGCATGCACAGCTGGTTAAATGAGCTAGGAGAAATGTAACATGTGCAGGTTGCATTGTTATTTTCTTGGCTTACTTCAGAGTGGCCAAATATTTCCAATCCACCAACCCAAATAAGCCCATTTTAGCTGTGGTTGACATCTGACTTGCAGAGGTCATTACTCCAAAATAATCACACAATTCAACCAAAGCTCGATAATCAAATATATATTATTTCAAATATAATTCCATTGGCTGGATCTCTTTCACCTCGATCAAGCAGCATGTTCAGGCCGTTTTTTGTATACATGTACCCAGACATTGTGTCTGGACAGGTACAGGCTGTGTATCCAGATCTTAAATGACTGTAGGCCTGTACAATATTATCATAGATAAATTTATGATGGCTAGTGCTACATGTATCTGATGCATACATCGTATCAAATCCAAAGGCAAAAGTGGTGGCATTATTTGTGGTAATCAATCGGGACAAATGTGACATATAATATATACCCCCCATCATAACACAACCTATCAGCTGCTGCGGTAACATCTCCAACAGTGACCATCTTCCAGGAGGCTGCTCTACCCATCATCAGAGCGTTGCCTCCTCCTGTTGGGTCCAAGCTACTGTAGACAATACGACTCCACGTCTCGGTTTTTACTTGCACGTCCACCGTTTTATTGTAAATAATAGACATCATTCACTGTTTTGAATTACTTCATGCACTGTCACTATGCCAGCATGTTGCATGGACATCCCAGTTTAGCTGTATGATAGCTGCCATCTGGATTATCTCTACAAGTAACAAGTAATAGCTCGCAATCTTGCTCTTGTGAAACTCTTGCACAATTTGAAGATATGCGCTCACAGAAATCTACCAAGCCTGGCCGGTATGTAATAAAGTGGTGTGGGTGGCGCTGGTCCGAGAACAAGGATAGGTCGCATGAACGAGGATCGTCACCGTAAACACGGACAGATCGACGCGTGCTAAGAAATAAGGATCGTCTGCATTTTCGCGGACGATTCTTATTTCCTATCCGCGATGATGCTCTTTGATGCATTTCACATTCACTTTGCACAGAGACTTTCACGTTATGAATGATAAATCCTCGGGAAGGCAGACAACCCATAAGCAGACGGTGACCTGGGGGTATTTTATAACATGGAATCCGTTTTCGGATTGCCAGTGAGCCGATTTGTCCATGTTTACGAGGATAGTCTACTGTCTAGATCTAGTCTATATCCTTGTTTATGCGGATGATCCTAATTCTCTGAGCTGACCAGCGCCCTACGGCCCTAGGCCCTACAATACCCTATCAACTCGTTTAGCACCATTTCTCAAAACATGCCCATTTAGTGTGATGAAAAGAAGAACAAAATTGGCAGGACAATAATAAACATTAGAACTAACGTTAGAAGCTCTTACTCTCAGACTATCCCACACATACACACTGACATTCACACTCACTTCTCGGCTCATTCACACAACACTCGAACAGTTATCATGACTTGGACTTCCACTGTTTCACTTTCAGTTTCATGCTTCATCAGCTCAAAGTAACAAATATATCCACTTACTGCAGCCACTGTTCAATGTCTTTCTCCTATTTCTGACCTTTCTGCCATTTCTAGATAAACTCGGCAACGAATGGGATATGCGGCACGATAAAATTAGACACGTCCTATTCAGAATCGTGTAAGAAGATGTCAACAAATTGCCAATAGTGCACTAGTGGTACTGGTACTGTACAGATCCGCCGGTAATATCTCTGCATCATTTCTGAGTTTGCGTTGCTCACTCTGTTTTCTGTCCGTATTTGCTCAAGAGATGGCGCTATTGCACAAAGAGACCGTAGGAGGACATACTGTGTATGATCGAATCTCTTTAAAAGAAACATTTTGGACTACAAGACTGTATTTCTACAACTTTTCTGATAAAAAGACTATTGCACAAAGAGACCGTAGGAGGACATACTGTGTATGATCGAATCTCTTTAAAAGAGACATTTTGGACTTCAAGACTGTATTTCTACAACTGTTCTGATAAAAAACACATTACTAAACTCTTATGTACTTTAATTCTTAAAAATGTGTTTGATAATCTCAGTTACATAATAGTAAAACACATTAAATGTAATTCTCTCTCTGGAAAACCAGACAAAATAAACCGTAAACAATAATTGGAGACTATGTAGACGGAGGTAAAAGAATGATACATTTACCCTCAATTATTTCAGGCTTAAAGATTGCCTGGGTTAAACGTCTTCTTGACGATAGTAATGTTGGGCAATGGAAATGTTTTTATGAAGTTTGTTTGGCTCCATTCGGAGGAAATCTTTTTTGGTATAGTGATATTAATGAAAACGATTCTAGTATATTGTCGATAAAAAACATTTTTATGCGGGAAGTTGCCCAGTCATGGGCTACTTTAACACGGAAATCAGTCCTTCCCATATCAGACGACAAAATATATGGAACAACACTATGATTCGTGGGAACAAAAAAGTATTATTCATAAAGTCATGGTATGACAAAAGTATAATTAAATTATCTTATCTTCTTGACGAAAATGGTAATATTTTTACCTTCTTTCAATTTAGAAACAAATATAAGTTTGAATACAATTTTGTAGAATTTTATTCTGTGAAAACGGCTATTCCCCATAATTGGAAAAATAATATGCCTAAAGGTTCAGAGGCAGACCTAACAGCTCAAGAGGAAATGATTAAAAATATAATGAAGGCAACGAAGATATGTCGCTATATTCATAATGTAAGTGTTCAACAGGTTTTTAGTCCCCCTAAATCAATAGATAAATTGAATTCTCTGTTTAATATACCAAACATAGACTGGGGTAAAATTTTCTGAGTTCCTGTTAGGTTATGTTTATCTACACGGATCCGTTATTTTCAGTTTAAGATAATACATCGTATACTTGGTGTTAATAAATATCTTAAATTATTAAATATTTCGCAGTCAGACCTATGTTCATTTTGTTATAGCTCCGTGGAATCTATAGAACATTTATTTTAGGATTGCCCAATCATTAGAAGGTTTATTGCGGATGTCCAACATTTCATTTTAGAGGATAAAGTTACTTTGAATAAAATTAATTTCATATTTGGGTTTTATGGAAACGTTAGAGTTCAATTTAATTTTGTTATTTTATATGCCAAATACTATTTTCCAACAAATGCAAAAATATCGTACTCTCACCAAATTCTTTTAAATGCATGTTAAGGTATTATCGTTCTATTGAACAATACATTCATGTTCAAAATAACAAATTTGTATCATTTAATAATAGGTGGAAAAACATTGTGTTGCTTTAAAAAAAAATTATCTTGTATAATCAGCTATATTCTTGTTGTTGATTCTATTGGCTATATTATGTATGTATATTCATATATGTTTTGTTATGTTTTGTAAAGTCGAAAGCAAAATTGAATAAAGATGATTTTAATAAAGAAAACAAAAATTCTCTCTCTCTCTCTCTCTCTCTATCTCTCAATGACTCTAATTTAGTCTCGTAGGCCTATCATTCTTTTTTTTCTTCTGTATGCTGTACTTTTCCAACACCACGAATTACCCCCTAATTGATGTATTTTGCTTGTAAATGTACTTAATATTGTCAGGTCTCACAAGGCAAGCTTCGCTTATCTTGGAGCCCTAGCCAGTTCTGTTTGAAATAAGTTCATATTCCTTCATGTATGTTTAATCTATAATGATGTTATTATGTATTCAGAACTTGAAAAAAATGAAATTAAGAAAGAAAAAAATGAATTAAAAATGTTACCTCATAATAGGTTTATATGCTATTTTTCAATAAAAAAGGAATGTGCTTTTCCTCTTGGCTTTAATTTTTTTTAATGTCTCTTTTTCTTCTTCTTCTTCTTCTTCTTCTTCTTCTTCTTCTTCTTCTTCTGTTCTTCTCTCTTCCTTCTCCTCCTGTACCACCAACTCTTCCTCTTTTCTCTTCTCCTCCTCTGCCCCTCCTCCTCCTCCTCCTTCTTCTTCTTTGTCTCTTTCTCCTCTTCTCTCTCATTACCTACTAATTATAATACTCTTAAGGGCGCGTTCATGCTTGATTTTGACGGCCAGAATCAGGCATCTGTTACGCGTTTAGTTTAAAACACGCTTGCGTTCATGCTCACTTTTGTAGAATCACCGAAAAACGGCGATCACGATCGCCGATCGTAAACTCACAAAAAGATGCGTTTACAATTTGTAAACGCGTTTAAATGGGGTCAACGCACTGACCTCTAGTGGGTCTACGTAGCATGCGCACACAGGTTTGCGAATCCAGCTGAAGGCCACCCAAGAAGAATTGCCTGGAGAAGTAAGCATGAACACTACATCGTGGAACTGCGATCACGATGAGCGTTTACGATGAGCGTTTCAGATCGCTCATTCTGCCTTCAAAATTTAAGCATGAACGCAGCCTTAGTCGATGAAATAACGATCAATTGATAAATAAACAAAATAGACTGATCTGAACGCATGTAATAACAAAGAGGTTCTGATAACGTGGATAGGGAACACATATCTAGTTAATGATTAATCACAGAATACATAATCTTTCCGAGTCAGACATTGTCAATATTAACAGGTCAAAGGTAAGCATGAAATTCGTTCATCTTTCGTTTGAACGCAATGTAGACTGCCTGATCGGTATTTTTAAAAGTCCATATGCATAGGTCATTCTGAACAGTGAACTGCCATTAGTTTTGTGGATCTTATGTCATTATTATATGAATTAATTATTTCATATTTGCGTGCATGCGGTATGTTATCTTGGATGACGTCATTTTCAGGGCGGAATGCTTATTGATCATCAACACATCACTTTGCAGTAGTAAGTAAGTAATAACTATTACATTATGTACATACATGTATTTCTTGTATCGTTCATCTGATCTAGCAAATCCTATAGTTACAGGCTTCTGCTGCTATACTGCTTAACCTTATACAGCAGATATAGACACGTGTCTCTATATCTGATGGTTATACAGCTTACAGCTTCCACTACAGACTGGTAATCAATTAAAATGTTACAATTAGTTTTTTTTTGTTAGTGGCTAGCGGTGATAGTATAGTATGCACTTATTAACAGTACTGAACAGGCTTAGATCAGTTGGGGATCGTTCGCTATTTTAAGCAGCCAGGTTTTGTATGAAGTATTTTTGTAGCATACTAATAATTACAGTAGACTGATGGCACATATTGCAGTATATACCTTTACAGAGATCAGAATCAGAATGATTGATTGATTGATTTTTATTCGACAAGTTTCAAACATACAACAATAATAACAGATCAAAAATAAGTCAGCTTGAACAGGATAACCCACGAAAGCTCGAGAGCTTGTTTTCAGTGGGGTCCCTTACAGACATGTATAAAATTAATAAGTTAAAATAATAATATTTACAGACAGATAATGGTCACGTTTTGTTTTGTTTCAGAAACATATTCTTTAAGCAAATCAAAAGAAACAATTATTGTTTACCATCGCAAAATTACCAGGTATCCCTCCTTTACACAACAAAAATAAAAGAGGTAAAGTGAAAGGGTTTGTCAAAAAAAAAATCCCTGGATATTAAGCCTACTCCCCAGTGTCTTCCTAATTATTATCTCGCATACTACCTCTCCCCCTCTTCTTCTTCTCTCCCTTTCTCCCTCTTCTCTCTCTCCCCTCTCCCTCCCTCCCCCTCTCTCTCTCTCTCTCCCTCCTCTCTCTCTCTCTCTCTCGTTCTCTCGTTCTCTCTCTCTCTCTCTCTCTCTCATCCCCTTTCTCTCCAATGAATTCAATGATAGAAGATGTATTCATCACAAATACGAGAGAAATAGTCATTATGCTATAAAAATAGTTACAGCGATGAAAACCTAAAATTGGAGCAGATGGTGATGTGGCGTTACAAATTATCACATAAACTATTTTTGTTTGATCTTGAGAGTAGGCCTAATACGAGCAAATGATGAATGCACACTTCGCCATTCACATTCTATGCCATTTTTGTGTGTTTACATCGAGGTAGTTCCAGGCAGGAATGATAAATGAAGCGATGTTTCGTGGTCGCTCTCGTCGATTGGCTGTTGGGGCAATCACCGTGGTCATCGTCCTCCTCGTATCGATGTGGTCGACATGGTCGAGAGGTAATACGAGCGAGGTGCTTGACCTAAAGGAAGACGGTCTCGATTTCATCAACAAAGAGATGGTGAGAAAATCTTATTTCTGCACGATTTATATATTGTTTTACCTCGGGAAATTCACTGTAATAATTGAGATGAAGGCTTACACGAAATGAAGGAAATAAGATATTGAAACCGCAGGGTTATATTATAAATGAACTAAATCGATAAGAAATAATAACAAATTTTGATTCTACCTTATTGATGACTCTTCACTTTGAAACAATAGGCTATAAGGTGACTTGAATTGAATAAGGAAATAAAGAATACAAAAAGATATTAAAAAAAATAATGTGAAAATGCGAAGAAGAGGAAGGAGATGACTTGAATTAAATGTAGAAATAAAGAATTAAGAAAGAGATAAAATAATGTTGAAAATACAAAGAAGAAGAGGAAGAAGATGACTTGAATTAAATGTAGAAATGAAGAATTAAGAAAGATATAAAATAATGTTAAAGATGCAAAGAAGAGGAGGAAGAAGAAGGAAAAAACAGCAGCAAGAAGAAGAAGAAGTAGAAGAAAATTAAGGAAAACAAAAGAAGAAAAGAAACGAAGATGAACAAGGACAATATTTGGGCAAAGGCATTGAGATGAAGTTGGAGAAGTATTAGAATATGTGATATACAGGAAGTCAACGTCATTGCTCCCCTTCCGGTTTTGGCTCTGTTCTTTAAGTTACACAAATGATCTTGATCAGCCTTTCCATCATTAATGACAACATCCTCTAATACTCAAGGCTGACAAAAAGAAAAGACACCAATAATGGTCAAATTTCTGTATCCTCCTTATAATCATTTTATTTTATTGTTATCAGTGGCATTGTTAAATAGGATGTTTGCTCTAAAGACTAGGCTTTATCTACCATTATTAGTTGTTTTAGATTTAGATTGTAGGGGATGCCACAGGTTAATAATTTTAAGAATTATTTGTATTCTATTCGTGCATTTAGGAGAAAACTTCAAGGCTTACGTCCTAGTCATCTCAAATCAAAGAAAATCACTGACTCATGAATACAAAAAAAAAACATCTTTAAATTACAGTAGAACCAGTGGAATGGTCAAATTTCTGTATCCTCCTTATGATCAATTTGATTTATCGTTATCAGTGGCATTGTTAAATATGATGTTTGCTCTAAAGACTAGGCTTTATCTACCATTATTAGCTGTTTTAGATTTGGATTTTAGGGGATACCATAGATCAATAATTCTAAGAATTATTTGTATTCTATTCGTGTATTTAGCAGACAACTTCAAGGCTCACTTCTTGGTCATCTCAACAGACAAAAGAAAACAAATCTTTACTGACTCATGAATACCAAAAAACATCTTTAAATTACAGTAGATCCAGTGAAATGTGTGACAAGATTACCATTTTATTTCTGAATGTTGTCGTACATTACTGAAATAATTTCTTGTTATTGCTACCTCTAGCATGTTGCATCAAAACCCTGTCCTCAGCCATCTCGACATAGAGAAGAAGAAAAAAAGAAGAAGAAAATCGTCACTTATTCATGAATACCAAAAAACATCTTTAAATTACAGTAGATCCAGTGGAATGTGTGACAAGATGACCATTTTATTTCTGAATGTACATTACTGAAAAATAATTTCTTTTTATTGCTACCTCTAGCATGCTGCATCGAAACCCAGTCCTCATCCATCTCGAAATAAAGAAGATCTTTACCGCACCATGAACACTAAACAGCAGTTTTGTCGGATCGACTCGACACCGAAGATAAAACCAAGCCTCCCTCGGATTAAACCGTTCGACTGGGTGTACGGTTCGGACATCACCAGCAGACTAAACTCAACGTTTGAAATCATCAATAAAAAGAGTGCCTACGAAGTTTGTGATAGGATACAAGTCAGGATAACAGCCAGAAACGGGCGGAACGAACAGAAGAGATTTGGCGGGGATTATTTCCGATCGCGGATCGTGACCAACGATCACAAAGGACATACGTGGTCGTCGATGTCGGATGGTGAGGTGGATGACCACGGTGATGGAACATACACGGCAACGTTTACTTTAAAGTGGCCCGGAGAGGTACAGTGATAAACGGGATGTCTTACTTTGCTATTATCATTATTTACTATGTATTCGACCACAAGAAAAGTTATAAAATAAAATGTGACAGTAGACCAACATGTCACCAATATAAAATACAAATGTAATTTCATTGTAATATTTTAGGGAAATTGTTCTAAGCAATCTAAGTATTTCCTTCCAGCACAAGTAATGTCCAATGTATACCGAGTTGATATTTTCAATTGTTTATAATGCTAAGGTAAAGAAATAATTGTATTTTCTACAAGCGTTGGCCTGTCGGGCAGATATCAAAGTGTAATGAAGAAATAAACTGAAAGATTAACGTTTGATAAGCTAATCTATTACAAGAGAACTAGTTGAAAAAATAAACCAATCAGTCATTGAAAAAAAGAAGGCAGTCTATCTTTAGAATCGAAATATGACGCATTCAGTTCTAAATCCTCGGTCAGAGGTGCCACTAGAAAAAAGTAAGAAAGAGAAAAAGAAAAAAAGGAGGGGAGGGGAGGGAGTGATGGAGAGAAAGAGAGACAAAGAGAGAGAGATAGAGAGAGAGAGAGAGAGAGAGAGAGAGAGAGAGAGAGAGAGAGAGAGAGGGGAGGAGGAGTCTCGCCCAATATTCTGGCTGTTATTGTTTGGACTCTAACAAATCCATATCCTAATTGGCAATTTTCGTAAGTTTGTATTTGGAAAATGTAACCAACCTTGGGCGGAATATTGTGACCCTCGATACACCCCATTAAACATATATCAGGGGCACCCCTATCTAAAATGAAAGCACAATGCCCCTTTTAACAATTTATGACTTATTTAATTCCAGGTGGTGATTCGTATCTACCTAGTGCATCCCAGTGAAGCAGTGTCAGTTCTTCAAAAGCAAAGCCAGTCTCAACTAGCTCGATATTCTTACAAAGGAATCTTCTGTTCAAACCATGGGCCCGTGGTTCAAGAGGAAAGAGAATGCAACGTCTTTATGTCACCACAGGTATGCATGGCACTATAGCCCATCTAATCCAGGGATTGCCATGATGTAGATAGGCAAGTTAAGTTGTAATATAAACGCAGGAATAGCTATGGGGCGCACATGGCACATGCCAGTTCCACACCAAAGACTCCCAACTAGGGTAGTTTCAGCTTATCCTCAAATTCGTCCTCATCTCCCTCTCCCCACGCTCTCTCTCTCTCTCTCTCTCTCTCTCTCCTCTGTATTCCATTCGATTGGGGAGAGAGGCATGGCATTAACCTCTTGCTAACTGTAGCATTATCATGCATTTGCACATGTATATTTTGAAAACTGATGATGCGTTCTTTGGTATAGTGTGAGTTTTAGTGGTGAGAATATTTAGTGGTTTCGATTTATCTATTTTGTGTGGATGTGACGGTATATCGGTTCGTGTAATGGTGATGACGATGTATTTATTTGATGTGGGGGTGACGATGTATCTGTTTAGTGTGGTGACGATGCATCTATTTGGTGTGGTGGTGACTATGTATCTATTGGTATAATGTGACGATGTATCTATTTAGTGTTGTGGTGACGATGTATCTATTTTATGTAATGATGAAGATGTATCTATTTGGTGTGATGTTGACGATGTATCTGTTTAGTGTTGTGGTGACGATGTATCTATTTAGTGTGGTGATGACGATGTATCTATTTGGGGTAATGGTGACGATGTATCTATTTGGTGTAATGATGACGATGTATCTATTTGGTGTGATGTTGACGATGTATCTATTTGGTGTAATGGTGATGATGTATCTATTTGGTGTGGTGGTGACGATGTATCTATTTGGTGTTGGTGGTGGTGGTGACGATGTATCTATTTGGTGTAATGGTGACGATGTATCTTTTTGGTGTTGGTGGCGATGGTGACGATGTATCTATTTGGTGTGATGGTGACGTTGTATCTATTTGGTGTGGTGGTGACGATGTATATATTTGGGGTGGTGGTGATGATGCATATATTTGGTGTGGTGACGATGTATCTAGTTGGTGTGGCGTAGTTTCGATGTATTTATATTGTGGCGATGACGATGAATCTATTTGGTGTGGATGTAGGTTGTATCTATTTAGTTTGATGGTGACGATGTATCTATTTGGTGTGGTGATGACGATGTTTCTATTTTGCGTGATGGTGACGATATATCTATTGGGTCTGATGGCAATGACGATGTATCTTTTTGGTGTGCTGGTGACAATGTATCTAATATCTATTTGATACGGTGGTGAAGGTGTATCTTTTCGGCGGGATTGTGACGATATTTCTATTTGATGCGATGATGACGGTGTATATATTTCTTGCAATGATGACATTTATGTATCTATATCCTTTTCAGACTAAGCATGTCTGTAAGTTTACTGACCGTCGGACGCGACTCTCTTGGTACTGTCACCATCCCACGAGGGCAGGTCTTAACTGCTCCCACTGGTGTCGTTTTAGGAGCGATTCTCGCTCAGCTATCACCTATATGATGACGACTTTGCCAGAAAAGGAGAAGGCACTATTCCAAACGTGAGTTTTGGGAAAGGGATATTCTTTTATCCATCTTTAAATTATAAATTCTCCATGGATTTGTAATAAATTTTAACAATGAATGGAATAACAGAATAATTCGGACACGATATAAAGGTTTTATTGATAATCATATACCCTGTAATTTCTTTCCGCCGTCAACATGTTCAATAAAAGATATCAAACAATTTTTTTACTATGATGATGTTTTTACTTCTTATCGATAGAAACCGAACCAAAATACAATGGCAAGAAAATGATTAGATTTTACAATTATAATGTTTCATTTCTGCTTTAAAACGTTGAAATCACTGGATGAATACATAAATAAAATAGATAGTTAAATGTTGTGAGGTTTTATAACATATCTGGAAAGCCAGATTTGTTCAATTCCACCATCGCAACGGAAATACAAACAATGTCGCCACTCTCTTTTTTTGTAGAGATTTGAAAGTAAGAAACAAGGATTATTTTGAATATTCTAAGAAAAATCTTCTCTACATGTCTTTTTATTTGTTGCACAGATCTATAATGAATAATAGGAATTTGCTTCATTCAAAGGACTATACAGTTCAGGGTAAGTTTTTAAAATGGAATGCTATAAATTGGCATTCCAACGTAACAGCACAACTTTAGATTAAATGCTTGTAATAAATTATCCGAAAAGGGGAAAGGTGTTAAAACATATTTAATTTTGTGATGTGGTGAAACGAACTTGGGGGAGAGGAATTAGATCAAGTTACAAATGTAAATGCACCCACTACCATGATTGCAAATGTAATAAATCTCTCGCCGTCAATATCAAGGGTCCCTTTATTGGTTTATGTATTAGAATCACCTGACACGATTTGTTGGCATTTTACCAATTGGAAAGTCATAACCATGGCGACTCTCCGCAAAGGTATTTAGTTTGAAGCTTGGCATTTGATGCGACGAAGGATGATTAAAAACCTTGTCTTTAGACGAACAATTTAATGATAATTCATAGTTGGACGCTCCCTGTTACAACTCGATTATCTGGTTCACTAGGAGTTTATTTAAACCATTAAAGCGTGTAAATTTATATCGTATAATGTCAGTCTACTGAAGTTTGAGTTTAGATAAGCTTTCATTAGTTTGCTTTTATTTGAAGCCCTCGTAATTCGACTCCTTTATATTTTTTTCCAGCAAAACCCGACATTCATCAAAGGATGGACTTCTTACCGCCATGTAAGCCTGGTATCCATGGGAACAGCTTCGCCCACTCTGGATACTATGCAGACGATGAGTGGGTATCGTCGTACTGCAACATTTTGCGTTTCTCATCATCTTTTCCCGCCACTTTGGATTGTTTACGCAAGAAGACTCTCTTCTTTCTGGGGGACTCCACCGTCAAACAACTGTTCGACTACTTCATGAAGCGACTTGAAGGAAACGTGGAGATCTTTCACGGGAACACCTTCTCCGCGGGAAAGAGTGCTCCGATCCTAGCCGTGGACGAGAAACATCGGATCAACCTCATTTTCCGCTCTCACGGGTATCCTATCGGGGACGATGCCGTGTACGACATCCAAAGCATCCAGTATCTCGCGAACACCCTCGACGATATGAAAGTCGGAGACAAGAGCGTGGTCATTGTATCGATCTGGAGATACTTCACTCCACATAGCGAATCGCTTTACGAAGAACGCATCAGAACAATCGTTGAGGCTGTGAAGAGGTTGCATACGCGAAGCCCCAAAACACTTGTGATCTTCAACAGCGCGAACACAGGAAACATGGACACATTAGAGAGCGTCGTGTACAACAGTGACTGGTACGCGAGGAACTTAGATGAAATTTTAAGACGGGAATTGTCTGGGTATGATCGCATCGGTTTTCTAGATTCTTGGGAAATGACGAACGCTCAGCTCTTTCCACATCGGACTCATCCAGTCGGCATGCATGTACAGAACCTAGCAGATCATCTTTTGTCCTTTATATGTCCATCTAGCCAGCTGAAGTGATGTATACGGAGAGGCTGAATACGACGAATAGAAATATGTTTTTACACTCTTTATTGTTTCTAGCATATATTCCAAGGAACATGTACTCTAATAGAACACTCGTCAATGTATTGCATTGGTTTCACTGACTATCTATCTCCCCTACCTCAAATTCTGTCGATCTCTTTTTACTACAACTAATTCCTTCCTTCTGTCTTTCTTTTTATATCGGCGCCCTGCTTCATACCCCCCTTCTATCATTTCTGCATCCTTTATAGTAATGCTGTCTCTTTTCTCCTCTTCTACCTCTCTGCTCCTTTTAATGTCAAACTACCAACCTCCGTCCGCTTAGGCCTCAGTCACAAATGCCATTACGAACTGCTACGAACGCCGTACGAACGATTTTCTGATAATGGAAATTCGGGAAGACAATGGAAAAACAGGGAGATTCGTACGAAATTATCGTTTGTACAAACCTTTGTGACCGTAGCATTACTCCCTTCTCTCCCCCACTCTTTCTCTGTGTTACGTCTATTTATTACTTTGTCTCTCATTTGTATCTCTCCCATCTCCTCTCTACTGCTAATGCCGTCTCCTGTCTCCCCCGTCTCCTCTCCGCTCTCTTCAATGTCAAACTACCAAACTTCTTTTGCCTACCCGTTTCTCTCTCCCTCCCTTTCTCTGCTTTACATATATTCCTCTTCTACCTGTTTTCTCTCTTCTACCTCTCTCCATCCATTCTCTATGTCGGTCTAGATCTATCTCTCTTCCTCTCTCCATTTTCCTCTCTCACTTTCTCCTTTCTTTCACTCTCTCTTCTCTTCTTTTACATGTTTATATGAATGTTCTCTCATTTGAAGAAAAAAATGCATATCGCACTGAATAGAAATTGCAAAGCTGACTATCCTGACACTTTTTCTTATCATGATCACGTGAAAAGTTGTGATGAAATTGAAGCTGCAATCTAAGCCAGATATTAAGTCATTAATCATCATTACACAAAAATAAAGGACTTCTTTCTACAAAACTTTATTATGTACATTTTTTTTATACAGTACATGTATATACAAAACAGAATATTTGTGTTAGAAATGAAATGTAACACAGTAAATAGTAGTGTACAAGAATAAATGTAGCTCACTGAATATGGAATGGAGTCAATGGACATTGACCATTTCGTATCTTCTGAGCCAGAAAGGCATCATCTCATAAAGTTAAAGGGGAAGTCCACCCTGATATCAAATTAGTTTTAATAGAAGCAGAAGAATTAGAGCAACAATTCAGTGAAAGTTTGAGAAAAATCGGGCAATAAATAAGAGGTTATGAATTTTTGAAAATCATGGAATCTTTGAGTGAAATTGGCGATGTGGTCAGAAATGTTGATGTCATCCCTTATAGTTCACCACTGATCTGAATGACAGAATGACAGAATGACCCAAAATCTCAATTTCTCTGAATGTTAATGGAATAGTAGACCTATCTTATACGGGGGTGCATGAATAAACATGTTTTCTGTTATATGTGATCGAGATAGGCATGAAGAAGATATATGTTTTTGATCAAAATGAAACTTAATGACATTTCTTGCATTCAACAAAGGATAAAAGGTGAGGGGGTGACACCATATTTAGAGACCGCGTAGTCAATTTGATTTCATGAAAAGTTATGGATTTAAAAAAAAACATATATATAATAATATCTGATTTTTCTCAAATCTTCGCTGATCTGTTCTTCTCATTTTTCTCCTTGTATTAAAACGAACTATTTATCAGGGTGGATTTCTCCTTTATTAAGCACAGAGTGAATAATCCTCCTATCTCTCAACACATGTTTTTTAATTAAATATAGCACTTTACAATGCCAAGTAGCAGAGTACATGTATATCTACAACTGGGTCAGTCATGCATTTGAACGATGCAGATAAGCATGCCAAGCAATTTTGATGTGAGCGCAGATTCAAACCAAATGTTTATGCTTCATAGAGGGTAATTACAATGTGCATCTTGTTTGATGGAATCATCTAATCTAGGTCATAATATTGAGAGTTGGATAAATTAAGGTAAATAATGTGCTATAATTAATTGTAGATTGGCACATAATATTGTACATACCGAAAATCTCATAACTGAAATAATCTGCCGGCAAATTCAATTCAGCCTACACCCATGCTATTTTCTTTAGCATTGTAGATGAATCAAGAATATTTTGATTGTATATCACATTTGAATTTGAAATTGAATAGCAATGGAAATAAATATCTTTATAAATTTTTAATGAAATGTAATTAAAGTTTGTTTTTATTATTTTTATTATTTTTTATAAACAGTATATGACTTGCTTTAGAATTGACATTGGGGACTGCGAATAAGGACAATCGTAAACTGTAAAGACAATAATAAGACACATTTTCATTTGAACAATACCTTCCTGCATACCTGAAATAAGGTATTTATTCTCAATTTAACCCACTGAATACCAGGCCAGAGGTAACTTAAGTTTGAATCTATGTAAAATGCAAAGTACACCAAAATCAAACCATTAAAGATTTAATGTTTATTATTCATCTCTGTAGCTATTATGTGTCCCCTAATAACTTACTGACATCCCAAGATATTGAGCATATTCATAATTCTGAAGTTTTCTCTATCATTAGGTATAGATAATAACATATTAGGGAGTGGTGCTCCTGCATACATGCCAACATTTGAAAATCAGAAATCTGTACAAATTATGCTATTTTCAAAAAAAAGAGGAACAATCCTAACTCTCCTATTCAATACTACAGACAAATTTGTACAGGAAGAGGAACACCTGCATTAAAATGATAATTATCTTCTCCCAAAAAGAGGAATGTTCCTCTTTAATCTGAACAGTTGGCATGTATGCTCCTGCTCCACTACACTGTTACTTTAACAATGTTTTGGCAGGGTACAGTAGGAGTATGATAGTACAGGTCCCTGTCTTATAAAAAGGTTACAATTGATCTGCATTGATTGAAAGTCCTACTTTCAATCACAAAGTTCACTGATGTCTTATGTACCGAGTTGCAATTGATATCAAAATCATCAGAAGGAAGTTTATATGTGATCAATTTGGATCAATCACAAATCATTATAAGACAGGGCTCAGTTGTATAAGCTTAACATACACTGATCCAGTAAGTTACAACGCGAAGGACCTTCATTGCAAGCAGATACCTTTTCTTATCCCCACTTGCAGTTCACTTACATGTAAAAAAAAAAACCTGCCATGGTTTATCACATCACACATGGATGAGGCTTTACATGCTAGCTAAAGTTCTAGGCCCTGCCAAATAAACAGTTGCCGTAAATCGCAACTAATTTACGATTGATATCAATTGCAACTATGTACATACAAGACAAGAGACTGTAAACTAGCGATCGATTGGAGGACTTGCGATTGATTCTGACCAATCGCAACTCTTTTATGAAAAAGGGCCCTGGGGGTGTTTCACAAAGATCCTAAGTTAGACATATTTTTTAAAAGGCATAAAATGTTAATTCAAATCAATCATATTTTCTATTATCAAGGAGATTTCATGTTCTTGATGTGGAATTTATCAAAAGTCTAAAATACTTGAGTTTTTGCTTTTAAATATATTTTATTTTAAGGCTACAAATGGCTCTCCATAATTTTTAAGTCCAACTTAGAGATAAGTTCAACTTAGCATCTTGGTGATGGTGGTTATTTTACCTGACTGCTAAGAAAGCATAAATGCTTGTAAGTAAGCAACCAGACGGCCGACGGCTTTGAGTCCTCTCAGAGGGACATGGTAATGAAGATTAATGCCTCACCAAAGGGCACTAGTACTTTGTGAAACACCACCCTGATTTATTAGCTGGATTAACCTCAACATAATATTGTCTGCAGCTCACGATGCATCATCAGCAATGGGGTTGGCATGTATGGTGACTCTCTTGATCTTACATTCCGTCAATGGTTTGAAGTTCTTCTCGTTGACCCTCAACTTTTCAAGCTCGTCCAAGGTCTCTAAGCCATCGATTACTCTGAGGAAGGGGGGGGAGGAGGAAGAAAGAAAGAAAGAGAAGTACTTGTTACAATCCAAATCAGTTTTTAGTAGAGACCAACTGTATAGAAAGACTACTTGTCTATTAGACCTCAGTTTGGTTCCTTCAAAATAAATTTTCATTGAAAGCTGTATTAAGCTAACTTGGATATAAAGAGCACGTGCTTGTTACAACCACTTTTCTTGTCTCTTTCAATGAGTCTCTGTATAAGAGTCTCTTTTTTAGAGACCCCCCCCCCTCCATAAAAAACCTAATAGGCATGTACATTGCATTACACTTTCACTGAGAAAATATTACACATTTCAATCTGTGTTTCTCATGTGTAATTGTGTAGATAATTGTGTAACATGAAACGATTTAAATGTATGAAAACTTCTCATTTGACATATGACTTGCTAACCATTGGCTTTCACAACTCAAAAGAGAAATGTACAGGTATGCTGAGTTCTAGTCTTTTATCAAAAGTAGCTTTAAATATAAATATCAAATGAAGGGGAAAATATATATATATACAGTCAAACCTGCTTTAGTGACCACCTGTATAGAAAGACCACCTTTCCTTAAAGACCAAATTTTTTGTTTCCCTTGAAAATGGTTACTTATTGAAACATGTACTAAAGGAACCTGTACATAAAGACCACCTGCCTATAAAGACCACTTTTCTTGTCTCCCTTGGATGGTCTTTATAGACAGGTTTCACTGTATATGAATATTGAAGATTCTCTTACTTTCCAATGATGGTGTATTTCATATCGAGATGAGGTTGCTTGGCATATGTGATGAAGAACTGAGATCCAACGGTATTGGGTCCATTATTCGCCATGGAAACGACACCTCGAACATTGTGCTGTATTATAATAAAGACATGAGATAATAATGAGGAAACTAATGCAATTATAGTTATAACATATAAATTTATTAATCTTTATTACCCAGAATAGTCTCATTAGTATCTATACTGGGGGGACAGGGGGTGTTTCACAAAACTTGTCATCAGTGACAAATGACAGTTTTTGTTATAAGCTACTGAAATCCTTGCTTCTAATTGGCTATCCGCAGATTTGACAATGATTTTTGTAACTTGTCATTGAAAAAAGGCAATGTGAAACAGGTCCCTGTTCTCCTTGGAGGCCGTACAATCATATTATTACCCAAGCTTTAGCCAGGCTACCAT